GCGTAAGATAAGGATAGTCAAGCAAGATCATCAAAGGAACTATCCAAATCTAACAGACTCGTCAGATGCCTACGAATTAACTTAAATTAACAACAGAATAGCCATCAAGTCTAAACCCCTTGGAACTGCCGATGTTCTTATTGGCGCTTTTGCCTACCAAACGAATAAACGTGATCCCTGCAGTGAGTGAGTAACCCCACCACCATCGGTCATGATGCGCTCCATTTATCGCACGCAACATACGCCGAAGGCACGTGAAACCAATCGAGATCTTTACGAATTTCCTACAAACAACAAAATTGATGTTTAAGCATCTCTAAGGGTGCCAATTTTTCACCCACTCNACCCACTCGTCAGTAAAGGCCGACAGGATTCTTGTTCGACGGTACAGTAAATCATGGCATAATATTCTTTATAAAAAAGAAAAAGCGTTCCGCGATTGGCAATGTTGCATTAACTCATATAAACAGGAAAAAACTAATGCCTACTCTAGGTGCCAAAAGTAATAAAATATAAAATATATACATAATAAAAATATGAAAATATTCTTGAAATTGCTTACTATTAAGGTCATGGTCAGAACTGATTGATACTGTTCTGTAAAAAATCATGTTGTTACTCGGTTTCTTCTCTACTTATGTGTTACCTTTCAAACCTAATCATTTCAGATTTCCACTAAGCCCGCATAGTGTTCTTCGGTCCAAATGTGAACCGTGTTTACCCTTACAGTGGATGTTCGAAAATACACTGCCATGCGTCAAATGGATCCGCAACCGTCGCACCAAGAAATTTTGCACGTTCACATCAGCCGCAGCTCAGTTTCTGCACCCAGGTTCAGTTGGATTCAAGCTGACGAGTGCAACATTTCGCTGTCTCAGTGCGCGTAGCAGATTACATATCCCGATTGGCACTGGATATAACTTAGGTCACAATATTGTCATTTGCATCTCAGGGAGTAGTTTTGCGACAAGCTAAACTCTAAGAACAATGTAAGCTTGTCTGCCAAATTGTGCTTTTATATAGTATCCTGTGAGGTTAAGCGAATGAGAGTAGTGAACGATTACATACCTCTGTGGAATTCACGTTGTCGGCCGCCTGCTGATAATCATCGTCACAATCGTTGTCATTGGACAACGGCTCCGACGTGATCACTCTGACGGTTGATGCGTGCGGATCTAAATCATTGTTCGAGGGGAGTTGTGTGGCATCCTGTTCAACTGATACTCCTGGGGAATGCGATTCAGCGATAGCTAGGTCGACAGATTCTGCATCGAATACAGGTAAATTCGCGTCTAAAACCGGTTCTTCAGTTCGTCGAGTGACGAACTTTTGCATGATGAGATGTACATATCTATCATCCTCGCAGTCTCTACAACCCCCTGCGGTAGTCGTGTTAAACAGTGCATCCTCTGAGGCATTTTGGACGATGCAAACGGAGTCGGTTCTTTTTTTCGCAATGGAATTCTCCACGGAATTACGTTCCATGGTTGAATTTTCCAAAGAATCGCAAATCACCTGAAATGAAAACAAGAACAGAGGTAACGTCAGTATCACACGAGTTTTTCGAACGCGACTGGGTACCAACTGGGGCCAGTCCCACGGTAGAGGAGAGGTGGCAAACCATAAAGCGTGGTATAGTCGAGCTTATGGACGAGTTTGCCCCACTAACTGCAATGAAAAATAAAAATCGACCTCAGTGGTGGACACCTGCAGTGAAACGCGCGCTGCAACGTAGAAATAGGGAATGGAAAAGGTTTGCGCAATGCCATAGTCACACCGCCTGGCATAAGTATACTAGGGAGCGAAATAATGCTGTGAAAGTGCAGCGCGCGGCAAAATACGAATTTGAGGTGCGACTAGCTGCCAAAGCCAAAATATGCCCGTTCAATCAAAGGCAGCCTTACGAGAAGGGCTAAAGCAAATACCTTACTGGAGTTCTTCCAGAATGTGTATCGACAAGAC